TTGGTTAGCCGGAAGCTGTACCGCGGTGCGTGAGTATTCGTTGCACGATCACCACAGTTTATCACATCAAAATAGCTACGCGAATAAGTAAACGGTAGCTGATAAGCTCGGGATTCAAGTGAATTTTGCATCTCTAATAGATCGATAACCGTTGCGGCACCGAATCGTCTGTATGCACGGGTTAACGATAATCGCAGTTATTCTTACTATAGAGCACTGATTAAATCGAACAGGTCGACTGGTCAAAGATAATCGTAAAAGTTCCCACCCACCTTTTTGAATTTCCGTTGACTGCGGAATAGTGAGGGCATGACTGTACATACATTTTTATACCGATAGGAAGTGGTAGAGATCAATCATTGAATTGTCTATGTTTGTCATCCTAATACCGCTAACGGTCTACAAGACAAATCTGTGCCGATGCCTTAACTGCTGCTGCGATCATTTATGTATCCCGAGGACCGAGGAAGGCACTAACGTTTAGTCTGGAAGGGAGCATGGGTCGAGAGGGATGGTTGACCTGTTCAGGGTCTCATTCATACTGTGATAAATGGGAAAATCCAGTGAGTACTTTCATGACTGTGCTAACCGCAGATCAATGGGTCATTTTAATTTCATACAATAGTTGTACTGAAACTCATGATAATCCCTATACATCATTGTTTTACTTGTTTCTTTCCCATCCTGCGCTTACATCAGATACGAACTGTCTGATTATGCTCCCGGTTTGTCAAACAACGAGTTCTTATGCCCACAACGCGGTCGCATGGGTCGATTCGATGGAAATTTCGTACACAGTCACCAAGGTCATGCACTGCTAATTCAAACGGCTTATTGGCCCACACAAAATGGACGGTAAGTGTAAGAAAAGTGTACTGACTAGCGGATCTAATAATTTTGAAGCTCTGAGAGTAGTTAAGTGCTTTATTTGGAATTTCGAGTCAAGATCAATACCGACCTGCTTCGAGGCTGATGGTCGGTCTCAAATTAACCCATGCATGTATGTGATGGCCCCTTTGTTCTAATAACCAATATTTCATTAATAGTAATAATAATTCTCGCGACCTCAAACCCCCTTCATTATTGGGTCCTAAGAGCATAAATAACCTATTCAATTGACATAAACTGATCTCTTAAACCCCTAATGAAACGTACATACTCACGAAGAACCAAAAGTGACTCTGCTCCTAANATATCAGGGGTTTGAACTAAGACCCCATCGCATCCAAGATCTGTGTGCATACTCTCCTCGTGCGTCGCTTTTGGGTCGAATTGCTTTGAAGATGAGGCATAAGAGCAACCTTGAATCGGAAATTCAACTTTCCCGGGGTGACCTGGCTTGCACAATGATATCACACACGCCTTTCATGGGATTCGAACACTGAGTGAAACAATGCATGCCAATGCATTAATCTGTTTTAATCGGTTATGGGAAGCGAAAGACTCTAGCAACCATATTTTATGTTTGCACTCTTTTGTTTGGATTTCTGTAAACAACAGAATTCCTTAATCACAACAAGATGGGAACCTTTGCATTCATTCAATCAAGACCGTGATTGGTAGGAGGACTGAAAATTATAAAGGAAACAATTTTACATGAGAGAAATGGTGCTACACGACGGACGGATATTGCGTCCTACTTTTCATATGCTAACAATTGCGCTAGTGTCCCTCATTTGTGTTGGAATCAATCATTGTACTGGGCTCTGCGGAGACGGTCAATAGTGAGAGAGAGCCACTGCCTAAATTTACCATTTCTTTATTTTACATAAGCGTAGTCGATTGATTCGTATTATCTGGAAATTGATTACATGTAATCCCTTAGCACTGAAAAGAAGCGAATCGATTATTCTCGTTACTAGGGCTTACGCTAACGTGGTTCCTGGACTAGGCCGGAATACGATTTCCCTTTTCACTAATATACTAATTTATTTTAGATTTTCTAAAGCATTCCATTTGAACTGGGATTAACAAAACCCTCCTTGTTCCGTGTTCCATCACAGTCATAGGAAAATGTGGGTAGCACTCGTTCACAAACGAAATGCAGCACATTACATTCATTCATCTTTGCGCCACTTTGAAGTACTTTCCGAGTTTTCATCACCATCGGAGTTCCACTGTTCGAAAAAAGAAAACATTTCACACCGTGTTAATCAAGCGCCAATCTGTCCGATTGACGGCACTGGTCCAGTCACAGATCGCAGATTAGATTTTTTCCATGTGCACAAAACTACCTCGGTAGTCACTATAGTTGACGGGTTAGGTAATACCGCTTCCTTATTTGATAGAAAAGGTCGACGTGTTTCATTTGGGCTCAGTTGCAATTCAACAAAGTTATTCAGGACACGAATTTGCCCGCTTTCTCCAGATGGGTTTTCCTTTGCAAAGTGGCAGTCTTGTCAGTTTTTACAAAACTGGAAAATTCATTTTTACTTCTCCCGGAAGTTTGCTTCAACCAATGAGGGTTGTGCCACGGCCAGTACACTACGCTGATAAAATGTGTACAAACGTAATCTTGTGTTGGGTTTTTTGTTTAGATGCGAATCAGAACAGTGGTCTTCGGCCGCATTTAATGGTCTCATCGGTTGGACGAATAAAGGAGGAGTATTCTGTCAGAGCTGCGGATTGGTCAAATTTACAAACATGGTACTGATCAACACCATGGGTGATTCATTCCACACAGAAGTGTTACCCTTGACAAAATCGGCTGAGATATATGCTCCCATGTATCAGGTGAGCTTTCTGATTGGTTAAGTCACTCTTCTAATTTGAGTTTCCGAGTTTCATCAAAGACAGATTGATTTCCCAAGGTTCTCTTACTACAGATACGTTCAGTCGCAAACTGTGTCAGTCAAGCTGATACAGACAAAGTTATTATGGATTTTTTTACGGGCTTGGAGCATGGGAATGTTTAATAGTAGCAAAAATAAAGGAAGATTTCCTCTATGCGAATATACCACCATTACACATTGTAATAAAAATACACAGTAGCGAACAAGCTCATTTGCTGTGATTCTTCCACTGGCTAATATACCACAATTTATATCAAACTGTTTAGAAGGGGGAGAATTCATGACAAATTGGAGAAGAAATAATTCACATTTCAGTTCCATAACCGGATGTTGATCATACTTTGGTTGTCACGCATGCTCAGTGGTTCGGGTCATCAGGGGTCGGGGGTGGAGTGTGAGGTAACAATGGGATATCCTCTGGGTCCACTGATCGCATATATCGTCATGGCTAAGCTGGAGCATAACATCCTAAGACGAACAACCGATCGTTGCACATTTTGCAGGCGCTACATGGATGGCATTCAGTGCTTTGTCGATGGGAGTATGCCTTTGGAATGGAAAATAAGCTTGAATCAGTGCCTCATAACCAGGGCGCGGAGAATACATATGTACACACGATACCATTGAGATAGAACTCAGGTTTGACAAAGTCTTAAAAATCGGTTCTCTTAGCTCGGGTGAACTGAATTCTATTTCGCCTGTTCGTCGAGCTTAGCAATTTGTTTGCAAACATTTCATCACCAGCCGAGGTGACATCATTAGTGCTTGTGAAGTGGCTACTTCATTTTTATTGTATTTTATTGTATTAGTATCACTTTTTGGGGACGTTCATTTATTTATTCAAGTGAAAATTTTTTTTCACAACTGAAATATCCCCAACATTCGGGCACTCATCCAACTCCCGAGGAGTGAGACGCACAGAAGAGAAACATTACGCCAATCCACGGCATCTGTGAATATGCATACAACTACCCAGAAGGCATTTAGTTCGTGTAGTCTTGTTCCGATTACTAGCATCTGACAGTGTGTAGCTCTAGGCTTTGGGGCTTTCAGTCTTCTACTAAGATTTGCTTGGTCTGCATCCCGGCGAGGGCACAACAAGTGCACATTGCTGGAAAGTCCCAAAATGCGGATGAGATGTTCAGTGCTCGTGATTATTCATTCTCAAAATGAAACGTACAGGCCACCCACGATCAACTCTTCCCAACGCCACCACAAACGCAAATGTTGGATCGCGAGAAATTTCGAATTCTAAATTACTCATCTTCACTATGATACGACTTTGTCACCTCTCTAGATCAACAGCCTCTTTGTTCAAGTGGTTAGGTCACCGACTCATGACCCGGAAGTCCCGGGTTCGAGCCGCTCCCCTGCCGCCCCTCTTCCCTGTTTCTGTATTTTCCCCAGGCAACCTATGAATGACCGCAGCCCTCTTCCTGAAAGTTGAATGTGCATCTGTATATTCAATAAATAAAAAAGGAAGTAAAAAGACATTTACATTTTTCATTTTTCACTGGAGACCGTAGTTAGAAGGATCGATTGAACACAGTGGTTTATTCCGTCTTTAATTCTCCTAAGATCAGCTATGCGCACTCTATGTCAGTCCAACACTCATTCCCAACCACGCAAGAGCCTTCGAAGACCTTCAGACAGTACCAACCACAATTGCCCGCAAACGATAGGAATGAGGCAATATTAGGCTCTGCTTGCTGATGTGATAGCGATGGGACGAATGCGCGATATTCGTCAATCCAGTCCTACCGCATCCCTCAAGAGCAGTTAGCTTTCGGACACTAACAGTCACAGAGGAAATCAGTACCTGTATATAATGAAACCCAAACTATATGTGTGCACCACCAAACCGCTCATACATACGACATGAACTTCACATAGCATTGATTAGTCCAAGCATTACACCAATCTCGATTGGTTTAAACTCACCATAACGCTTCCTTTTCTTCTCGGTTTGATCCAAACACTGTAGATTAGGACACTGATACTCGGTATGTTCCCTGAGTTGAAACAAAATATTTCAATCCCATTTCACGTTTGTCTAATCGTGCCAGAATCTGACTATTGTCGCTAAAGAACCACAGAAGGATTCCGTGGCAAAGTGGTCTGGAATTGTGCTACCCAGGTTCTCGGCACTGACATTCACGAATGTGCAGTTCGAGGGTTTTAACGGAGAACGCTTGGCTGCTATTAGAGGATCGAACCGGAATGATTCCGGGTGTACATCCCAGTGTATGGGTCAGGAACACAACGTACAGTGAGTAATCTGCTTTATGCGGCATTGAAATGTATGGAATTCTAATCATTTCTGAGCAATTTTCAGTTTCCATTTTTATAACCGAATGGATCCTTCAAAACTGATTTTATTGGCTGCTAGGCTCACTTATTTGAGGGATGTATTGCTGCCTATCTTCAAATATGTTTCGATTGGCTGTAGGTGCAAAATCTAAGCGAAATAAGAGCGAAACAACTATTTGTGCAACAAAAGTTGCGTGTAATTAGCTATCACTCAACCAAAATAGCCTGATAACCACGACTACTACCAGCGACAACATCATGAACACCGAGGCATATTCTTCACCTTTGACGTTTGAGCTGCATTCTCAAGGCTAATGATTTTATGGAGATTCCAATGGCTTTCGTTGGATAGCAAAATACTAGTGACCATAAGAGAGTTGAGTAGAAAGTTTCCGGCTGTGCAAAAAAGTGATTTGTTACTCAAAATAAGCATGAAATTTACTGGAAATATTCTCCACCAGCGTTCATACGCAGTTCCATCAGCTCTGACCATTGTTGAAAAAAGCTCAACAATGCCCAAGCGGTTAAACCCTCGACCAGTTTAATGAAGAGCCCCACCGCAACCGTTGGTGACTCTCATCGGATTCCGCGCCCGACACGCTGGAATTTCACAAAACACTCAGACACAGCGCTTTTCAGAGGCACTTTATCACCAAAAGTAGCTCGCAAGCGATCAACACTCTGCTGCAACTGCTTTAAACCACGCTTGCAGTGACATCGACTGAGTTCCATCGTTACACTCCGAGTATAGCGACTTGTGATCTGTGCTCTGTTCTCGACGCTTGGTTCTGTGAGTTACACTCACTGAACAATATTCACAAAAGTTGTCGTCTTACTTGGCCGGTCATTCGCATTTCATGAGTGGACTGTGTATCCTGAAACGTTTTGCTCAGCCCTCGTATATAGACAAACGTTGATGTTGGAAGGTTATCTAAGTTAAAATGCTATTTACAAGTGATCTTTAGTTGTGTTATGCAAAATCAGCTTCGAGAAACCGTCAGTCCACAGTGTGTTATTTGGTCCAGCACCCAGCCTCACTCTAACTGGGGAAGTAATAGAGCACGTGGATAAGTTTTGTCACTCTAACTGGGGAAGTAATCGAGGAGGTGGATAAGTTTTGTTATTTGGGCAGCTACATCTCACCCGGTGGATGCATCACGGATGAAGTGTCAGCTCGCATACAGAAGGCTCGGTTGGCATTTGCGTAATTTAGACAGCTGTGGTGCCGTCGCGACATCCGGCTGTCTGTGAAGGGTCGAGTGTATGCTGCAGCAGTTCCGCTATACGGCGCAGAAACTTGGCCATTAAAAAAAACAGGATAAAGAAATACTGTCGGTGTTTGAACACTGCTGTCTACACAGTATTGAATGAATGGGATGGGGCAGCCGGACGAGTAATGCTGAGGTTAAGCGCAGAGTCTGGAGTATCCGCAGTCGCCCACTGGAGCCAGTGGTCGACCTACATAGACTACGTTGTTTGGGGCATGAGTTACGCATGTCACCAGATAGGTTGCCACGGCGAGCGATGTACATCGAGGCAGGTAGTGGGTGAAATAAAGCCATGGGTACTCAAGCATAAGGGTATTAAAACCCCGAACATAGGTCCTGTTATGTTCCCTGGATGGGGACCTCAGGATGATCGTACCCGATGGATAGAGACACTGAATGATATGGCTGGAAGTCGTAAACAATGGCATTCGTGCATCTTCTCAATTTCTGTGCAGCATTAGTTCAGTGATATTCTCAATTTATCTATACTTGTTAAAACTGGTTTGAAGTACGATGCTCCGTATACAGCAGTATAAACCAGCACAGATAAATAAAAGCCGTTTATGAATATCCAAGAGAGCATTCCTAACCTAGATCATCTCCATAAAAAATAAAACAATCCAACATTGGCTTTGAAATTTTTAAAATAGGCTCAAACTGGTTATTGCAACCCTTAGATTTGGTCCAGCAGAGCACCTCAACTGCAGTGGAGAAAAAACCCAGCTAAGCAATAAGAAAGGAACAGAACGACATCGGCAATTGCGCTTAAAGTAGCCAGTCGCAACTGTGTAAGCCTGAACGCACTGTGGATTGGCCCTTAACGAAGTCACCATGATGATGTTGCCTATGCTGGCTGAGAAACATCTTCAGACAAGACGCCTAGCTTGGAGATCCTTCTAACATCACCCCTGAGCAATATAAGTCAACAATAAATTGTAGATTGAAAACTGTCGAACTTGATTTGTGCCTTATACAGAGGAATCTCTTGGNTCTCTTGGATCAACACTGATAATCGTGTGCAATTTGAACACCCATTCGAGTTCATGCTTCGCGATAGGGACGGAAGTATGACTGCCAATCTCCCCAATGTCTCCGTTCTCCGAGAATCTTCAATCGTGCCAGCCTCCGATCTGCTACCGAGCGACAAATGTGGGCCGTTGAACGGTGACTTGGGGCCCGCTTTTGCTTGGGGCAAGCTGCCTGGTGTTCGTTGTTTGCCCGAAGTGTTGCTCATTCGTTTGGGCATCAGTCACGTGAAACTGAACGCGTATAAGCCCGAGGGACAATTGCAGATCACTCACCTGAATGAATCAGATCCCAGTTCTGGGAGGAGCACAATGATCCAATCGGAGTATGGACAGTGGCTGGCGGTCGTGGGAGCCAAGAACACGTACATTTTGGATTTTCCGGACCACAAATCTCCCGTGCATAGTTTGGCCTATAAAGCACAGTTCATTGTCTGGAGTGTGAGTCTTGTCACAATTCGGAGAGTTTACATTTGTACTACTTATTTTCTTTTCACATACCAAATCTATGCACATATCCCTCCCAGTTCACTGTGAATAGTGGTATGCGATAAATGTTGTTTGTTTGAACTGATTACTCATTGTTCATCGGATAGTCACTCCTTATGAGCTCTAAAAGCAGCGAAACTGGAGTCTTTTGCTTCCAAGTGTATGATTAACTAGATGAACTGTGCATGAAGATGGAATCTGTAGGATTTGTTTTGTATTTTTATTTTTAAATACTTCACTTGAAGCAGTAATCACCCTTATGAATCTGAAAAACTATGTTAGCAGGAAACTGCCCAAGAATGAAGTGATGCTTGTTTTACTCTGAAAATGATGTCATAACTGAGATGGTTGTTTGCAATTCACCTATCATATTGGCCCTCATGGAGCTGTCGATCGGGTTTCCTGGTTAAGGTTATCTCGCGGTGCTGAATCATCGCGATCTTTCTGATAATATCAAAGACTGTGATCACCTATAAAACAGTCAGAGGTTTGGCTTTTTCCAGGATGAATACTTCACACGTGACAAGCACCGTTTTCTTTCGAGAAGAGGTGCAATTACAGGAGTTCTCAGATTCTACAGAATCCTCGGGACTTAGCTTATGATAAACCTCTCATTTCTTCCGAAGAAATAGAAAAATATATTTCAGCCGTGAATTCGTCGTGTATATACCAAAGGAAGCGTCGAATGCAAAGCTCGGAAGCACTGGACAGCTGTTTTGACCTGATCGGGTCTCAGCATCCGTGCGAATCCATCGACCTAAACGGGGATCAAACTCGAGACCTCATGGGCAGAACTCAAGCATGCTACCCACTTGGTCACCGGGCAGCTGATCGGACCGTTTCATTTTTACACGATATAGCACAACCCATCTTTACGAGCTTATCGCGGGCTACAGACCCTGTTCATCTCAGCACTAGTCTTCGGGTTGTGACTCGGATGAGACCCAATCAGGTCGCAATAGCTATCCAGTGCTTCCTAGCTTTTCAGTTCAGGCTTCATTTGCTATATACACGACGAATTCACCTTTGAAATTGAAACAACTACTCGATTACTGACTAGAAAATATATGATTAGGTTTCCATAAGCACGAAGCAATCAATGGTCTTAGGGTACGTACATTAGGATAGGAAAGAATAGGATTGGACTATTCGACCTCTGACGCCATGTGATGATATCCAGTACTGGTTGAACGTTTCAGGGAGACGAAAAATGTTTAAGCCAGCAAGTGTTGAATAGAGCTATATGTTAGAACTAAATAACAAATGCGAAGGTGTAAGATGAAATTGACATTGAGTGGAAATTTTAAATATTCCCTTCTGATGAGTTGATATGAGAACGTGGAGCAATGCGAATCATTCGTATATCAAGCATAATAGTGAGGATACTGCTGAACAACTTAGAAACCGATATCAGGTTTTAGCTGGACTCCGGTGGCGATCACCGCGGTAGTGGTGATTGAGGAACAAGGGCTATTTGAATTGCATCCCCTCTGTACATCTTCACCCAGTTGCGTATTTCCCTTCAGGCGCGTTGAATTAGCCATGACTCCCTTCCGGAAAATTTTCCCGTGTCATTAGTACTGAATAGACTGCTAATGTTCTACAGTGTGGTGATGAAATAACAGTAACACAGTAATGTTCTTAAAGTTCCATCCACGATAAAAATGATCCGTGTTTCGAGTCCATACGTTCCATTCCATCTATGCACACAGGATCCTACCTATCTGGTCATTCGACACGAGAATATCCGCCCGCCACAGCCACGCATACAAATTTACATCAACGGTTTGAGCATCCCTGTGAGCAATCAGTCATTGGAGACCGAGGAAGTGAATGCAACAGCATTTTACAATGAGACAGGAAACTATCTGGAGTATAGATGTGAGCGTGAAGTATTTGATGAATTTGAGGACGCGTGGGTGATCTATTTTGAGCGCATATACGGACGCAAACACACACTCATAAAAGCTGATCCAAATGCATAAAATTCACCTACTTCTCTTTCACCTTGCTTTATCCACCCCCATCTCCCACCCCCGGTTCAAGTGAATTTCTACAAACTTCGTCAGAATTCGTATGATTTAAAATTTGGCCTGATGCGTGAAACGCCGAGTAGGAATATCTCACATGGTACAGGATTAAACAAAACGGAACAGGTGGCGAAAGGAGAGGAAATTCAATCGGAATCGATCATTTACCTTTGGTCAAAACCAGAACTGTGGACGGACGATATAATGATCTATCCTACAAATGGTAGCTCGGTTAGTATCTGGAATAATGGTATTAATATTATTACCATCATTATAAGTTTGTTTTTTACTTTAGACCTTAACCCCCAAGTTCGTATAATGTTAAAATAACGAAGTCGTGTAACGCAAGATCACTTCCACGATGTTTTTTACATCGGTTATGCTCGAATGATCGAACTGTTTTTCCAAATTCAGCATTTATGGGTGTTGTGTTCCAAATTAAGTAGGTAAATAAGCACACGATGAATTAAGCAGTAATTTAATTGTAAATAACATATATGTAGCCGGTTCACAAATCGGGAAAGAAGCAGGAACGAATAACTTGTAAGAAGGCAGGCAGGCCGACATCGGCTCACACGTCGCACTACATGCGAATGCCGTGAAGCCGCCAGTTAATCGATCAACCGACCGATGGATCAATCAATTTGGCTACAGGCATGTATGAACAAAAATCAGTCAGTTTAGGCCACAAAAATGGGTTTCCAGTCTGCATGCCGTCACACACATTTAAAAAAATTGAATATAAACCTAGAGGAGAGCTGTACAGCTACCTCCATCTTGATGAACAACATCGGCCTTAGGCATCCATGGATCTCAACGAAGATTGAATTACAGAGTGATTGAACAGATGTGTTCAACTTTTCCACATCTTGTCTTTGTGAACGTGTTGTAGGTTATCGGGCTTAATTTATCACGCTGGAAAATTTCTTTAAAAATTGTTTCATTATTTTCAGAATCAGCGCAAACCTAGTAGTAGTTTTGATGAAATATACCGTCGTACTGCACCGTAGGGTCCAACAGCTTCTGAAATGAACAAGTGTGTTCGTTTCGTAGGATCGTTCACTCTTGTGTGGGATGATTAGGAAGTGGCG